AGAGGAGGTAGAAGGAGGGATGGTTGGAGGCGGGGGTGAAGGGGGAAGTGGGGATAGGGGAGGGTAGGGAGAATGGAGAGGGAGAGTGAGGGGGAAGGAAAAGGGAGAGGGAGAGGGAGGGATGGTTGGAGGGGGGAGGAGATAGGGAGATGAGAAAGAGGGAGTGTGGAAGGAGAGAGAGAGAGAAGAGAGTGGGAGGGGGGAGGGAGTGAAAGAGAGAGGGAGGGGAGAGAGAGAATCTTGACAGTGGCAGAGTGACAGAAATAGTGACATTGACAATGGCAGAGTGGCAGTGACCGTGACAGACACAGAGAGTAGGAGAGAAAGAGAAAGAGAAAACAAGAGAAAAATAGAAAGAAAGACACTGAGAATTTTTTTTAAATGAGAGAAGGAGAGAGCCCTGCACATGAGAAGTTGTTGACACCTAACCAAATGCAACTTGGCCCTGTAATATTATAACGTATCTCAAATAATTATCATCAATCTTGTCATTTACCTGACAGTTATTACCACAAACCCATTAACTTGTCAGTAATTAGTGCATCTTTTTTCCTTGGCGAGAAAATAGAATAAGATAAGCAGTGAATAAATAGATATGGGGTATTATTATTGGTTTATTGTTATGTTTGTCTCCTCTCTCTCTCTCTCTCTCTCTCTCTCTCTCTCGTCTCTTCTCTCTCTCTCTCTCTCTCTCTCTCTCTCTCTCTCTCTCTCTCTCTCTCTCTCTCTCTCTCTCTATTTTCTCCTTTCTCTATCTTTTCTTTCTTCTTTTATATGCGTCTCGCACTTCCTTCAATAATACAATATTATGATAGGATTTAATATTCATTTCCGTTTTTTATTAGTTTCGTAATATCGTTTTTATGAAGGCCATTCTGATTTATAGTTCATATTATTTTATATTATTTTTTTTCATAATTGTACGGTTTTGCATGAACTGAAAAAGGTTTATTTGATTAAAAGATGCGTAGGGCTAAATAGATTGATAGATAAGTATATTGCCTTGTGTGTGTGTGTGTGTGTGTGTGTGTGTGCGCGCGCGCGCCTGTCTGCTGCCTGCCTGTCTGTCTGTCTGTCTGTCTGTCTGTCTGTCTGTCTGTTCATGTATCCATGTTACATACGCAAACATGAATATATTGTTATGCATGAATATATTTTTTAATGCAATATCAAAGAGGCCCATTTTCGACGCCCCCCCCCCCCCCCACGCGAGAGTTCAAGGAGTTAGGAAGAGCTGGTCCGCCCGCCCCTCCTCCCCTCCAAGTACATTTATTACCTCGAAGACACATCCGCGTGCGGGAGGCGGCGATAGCGCGGCGAGGCGCTCACCTGCCGCAAATCTCTTCGCGCAACCCTGAATTACGAGAAGATCCCTTCCCTTCCCTCCTTTCTCTCCTTCCCTTCCTCCTCCTCTCCCCTCCCCCG